ATCTCCTATTATTGCATTTTTTTTCTCTCTTTAATAAACACGCATAAAAGCTCCCAGTTCCATTTTCTGCTCCATAAAAGCCACGGTGAAATGCTAAAAGAACACCAGATGACGGCATACCTTAACTTTTTTTTCTATGTTTGTTTTCACCTCATTAGGCGGCAGCTCAGATTTTACACCAGAGGTCTTGCCAGAGATCAAGAAAAAGTTGAGAGATTGATCTCGAAATGCTCGATTGTAAAATCAATGCGTTGCACCTTCGTATTTGCAGTATTAAGCTATATTTTTCGATATCACTATTACAGACCTGCATTTAAAAAAAAATTGTCTAAAAGATAATAATTGGAAAGTCTCACGTCAATAACTACTCAATGCTTTATATCATCATGGACTACTCGGGAATAACCGTAGATCAATTTCTTAAATTATTCGTTGAATAAAAGCTGGCCAAACAATCATCTTCATAATCATAATAATCTTTGTGGAAGGGACAAAACTCTTCAATTAAGGTAGCAGATAGACGAGAGGAATCTTGAGAGCAAACCTTAGTAATGCAGCGGGCCGTGGTTGACTGAGCTTTCACTTTACCTTTGTAATTGGTCTTAGCTCAGCTCGCTGTCTTTTCACTGTTTATTTTCATTATATTTCGAAAAAGACATTAAACTATCGACAGGATGATCAAATTTCTCATGTTTAAGTAATATTCCAGCAAATTAACCGCAAATAATGAAATTATTCGTGTTTGATTGATAACGCATACGATCAAAATTATGTGGTTTTTTGAATCTATATTATATGTTTCAGAATAATTATTAAGCATTTGATACACACACATACACACACACAATATATTCAACATATACATGTGCACGATATTATAGAACCGATACTGTGTCATTCTGAAAGCTATTATGCTCTGAATCAGTCAATTAATTGATGTACATATTCCAATCAATTGGTTATTAAATGTCAAACTCTGCAGGACTAATTAATATTTTCTTTATTAAAAGATAAACTAATCTTAAGATTGGAGGCGCAATCGATGCCGGTGTGTAAAAGCTAGCGTAGTTACACCACTTGAAAATGAAATTCACGATTACATATTGCAGAGGTCCCAAACGACACATGCGACATTTGCTCAGGCTTATTTATGGATATGGTCGAGTGAGAGAGAGAACGCGGCCTATTGATTTTTCGTGCGCCTCCCGTAGCGCCAGTTGTGCAATCCATCGCTTCTCATCCCATGTGTATATATATGTATATACACGCACGCACACGCGCGCGCGCGTGTATGTGTGTGTGTGTTTGTGTGTTTGTGTTTTCGGACGCGCGTCAGATACACGCGTCGCCACCACTACTACTAGTCCAGGCAACAGAGGCAAAAAAGGCCTGTTTCAGACAAAAATTCCGGGATGGGTTTTCTCAACGGAAATCGCTTCAGTACAATGTAAATAGAAACTCTTGATAAAATGCAACTCCTAATTTATTGTCAGATTTTTTTTATGAGCGTTCAAAGTTGACGAAATATGGTTTTTTCAATCTGCAAGCCACGGTATGCATTTTAGCTGAAAAAGTTTCGTATAAAAGTTGTAGGCAATAGCAAAAGCTACAATTTGAGCTGTCGTGCAATTTTTTTCGTTTGTTAGTTATTGAAAAAAGCCCCAAAAACCCTTAAAAATGGCCATTTTTACTATATCGAATATTTATTGCAAAAAGAACTTTTTTTAATGTTTATGACTCTTAAAAGAAAGCTCTTGTGATTCTAAAAAAAATGAATCGTCGCACGACTATTTAATTTTATTAGTTACTGATATATTCTAATTAGTTAATTAAGAGACGTCCAAAGTACGGGGCTGTAAATTTTTTTTGGCCGAAGATATCGAGTTGTAAAACAACTCAATCTCTTTGTCAAAACGTCAATTTTAATAAATGAATGGGAACGAATCAAAAAATTAATTTGCAACCCCTAAATTTTGACTTTATAAAAGTGCACCTTTTTTCTTTCATAAACAATTAGAATTGCGGCTTCCCTATGCATTATAGAGATTTCTTTTTTAGAAATTCACATATCTGAGATCAAGGTGCATATTTTGAAAAAAAAAAAATTGTGTTTCGACCAATAGGAGCCGAGATAATTTTTTTTTTTGTTTAAATCGCCATTGTTGTAATAATGAAAATTAACAAATCGGTCCAAGGGCATTCGATCGTTATTAAGTTATATTTTCTCATTACGATACAAGGCTTTACATATTTTGGCTTTTTAACAATTAAAATGACGTTTCATTTCCAGCACGAGAAAAGCCAAAGGCCGGAGGCGGTGGTGGGGGGTCTCCCTCGCGCGCTTGGAAATACTGAAAGTCCGCGTTCAAATCGACGCGCTTCGCGAAAATCAGGCTTATCTCGCGAACTATTGCATCAAATTCGATCATTTTTTTTTTTAATTTGGGGTAGCTTCAAAATTTATTGAGATTGGTGTAGTTGTAATTAGTATATTTAGTGCCAATCGTTTATTATTAACTTAATTGAATTCATACATATCAGTGTATGTATAAATTCCAATTAATTATTACTTGCTATCCGTAAATATGGATAAGGATAAATAATAATCAATATATTTTCAATTATTAATAACAATATTTTAATTTATATGCATACGTAGGCTATAGTTTACATGATTTCTTATTTTCTAATTGTACCTAGTTCTTTTCGGCGCAGACTCATTTATTTCGTTTTCATTGCATTCTTCATTTAACATTACTTCTAAAGACTACTTAAATTATACTCTTCGTTATCAATATTATCATATTCATGTATTTCTTCTACGTTCGTACAATTATCCCCGTAGCAAAATCCACACAAGCGAGAACATTTGAGGCCATGTTTGCGGCAGCTGCACGCAGCTTTACAGCCTTTTTGGCATTTACAAGATATTTTTTCTGATACTTCGGGAGGTATCATTGGCTCTGAAGAATGAGTGGGTTCCAAAGTATTTTCGACTTTATGCCACCCATACTTCATAGGATTTAAATCATTACCAAGCCACGATTGTATTTGCAAATAAGCATATATATATATATATATATATATTCCAAAAAGGTTGTGCAGCAAACATGGCCTCAAATGTTCTCGCTTGTGTGTATTTTGCTGTACGAATGTAAAAGATATTGACAATGAAGAGTATAATTTAAGTAGTCTTGTAGAAGTAATGTTAAATGAAGAATGCAATGAAAACGAAATAAATGAGTCTGCGCCTAAAAGAACTAGGTACAATTAGAAAATAAGAAATCATGTAAACTATAGCCTACGTATGCATATAAATTAAAATATTGTTATTAATAATTGAAAATATATTGATTATTATTTATCCTTATCCATATTTACGGATAGCAAGTAATAATTAATTGGAATTTATACATACACTGATATGTATGAATTCAATTAAGTTAATAATAAACGATTGGCACTAAATATACTAATTACAACTGCACCAATCTCAATATATTTTGAAGCTACCCCAAATTAAAAAAAAAATGATCGAATTTGATGCAATAGTTCGCGAGATAAGCCTGATTTTCGCGAAGCGCGTCGATTTGAACGCGGACTTTCAGTATTTCCAAGCGCGCGAGGGAGACCCCCCACCACCGCCTCCGGCTTTTGGCTTTTCTCGTGCTGGAAATGAAACGTCATTTTAATTGTTAAAAAGCCAAAATATGTAAAGCCTTGTATCGTAATGAGAAAATATAACTTAATAACGATCGAATGCCCTTGGACCGATTTGTTAATTTTCATTATTACAACAATGGCGATTTAAACAAAAAAAAAAATTATCTCGGCTCCTATTGGTCGAAACACAATTTTTTTTTTTTTCAAAATATGCACCTTGATCTCAGATATGTGAATTTCTAAAAAAGAAATCTCTATAATGCATAGGGAAGCCGCAATTCTAATTGTTTATGAAAGAAAAAAGGTGCACTTTTATAAAGTCAAAATTTAGGGGTTGCAAATTAATTTTTTGATTCGTTCCCATTCATTTATTAAAATTGACGTTTTGACAAAGAGATTGAGTTGTTTTACAACTCGATATCTTCGGCCAAAAAAAATTTACAGCCCCGTACTTTGGACGTCTCTTAATTAACTTATTAGAATATATCAGTAACTAATAAAATTAAATAGTCGTGCGACGATTCATTTTTTTTAGAATCACAAGAGCTTTCTTTTAAGAGTCATAAACATTAAAAAAAGTTCTTTTTGCAATAAATATTCGATATAGTAAAAATGGCCATTTTTAAGGGTTTTTGGGGCTTTTTTCAATAACTAACAAACGAAAAAAATTGCACGACAGCTCAAATTGTAGCTTTTGCTATTGCCTACAACTTTTATACGAAACTTTTTCAGCTAAAATGCATACCGTGGCTTGCAGATTGAAAAAACCATATTTCGTCAACTTTGAACGCTCATAAAAAAAATCTGACAATAAATTAGGAGTTGCATTTTATCAAGAGTTTCTATTTACATTGTACTGAAGCGATTTCCGTTGAGAAAACCCATCCCGGAATTTTTGTCTGAAAATTTCTCTGTTGCCTGGACTATACCGCTACCGACATCCTCTGCACATTTTACTGCCTTCGTACTCTTTTTTTTAAACGTGAAATCTTCGGGCTTGTTTTGGTTTCACTATCTTTACGTTCAACCCTTACTACTTGCACTGATTCATCACCTCAATTATTCCGGTTACGAGTAATAGCAAGATTGAAAAAAATTATTTGACGTATAAACCAGTGGAAACATAATTAAAAATATAAGAAACACCAATAAAAATTAATTTTTCTCTATATATTTTTCAATATAAAATTCGTTGAACGAAGCTTTTAACAAATATGCGATTTTTATACCACAGTTGCATTGCCTTTGAATTATTCTTTTTTTTAAAACTTAATATTGTATATCACCGAAATGTTTCTTCAAACAGAGATTGTAAACAAAAATTTTTCTTGTTTCAGACATAACCATTCCCGCTTGCAGTACGATTCGGTACAAAAGTTTAGATGACGTCAATGCGACAGAGCTTGGATTTCAACGTCTGGAATTCACACCCATTGTTGTTTCAAAAATGAGGTATATGCTAGTGCAAATATAATATTTTTATTGAAACTCTAAGAATATTTATTGAATTTGTCTGTAAAGTGCTCCTTCCTTTTTATAAATTGGAAATAGTCGAAACAACCAAGTTTTATCAACATTATCGGAATTTGAAAAAAAAACCTGTATAAGCAGATTTGCTCCTCTTAGAAATTTAATCAGTAAGAAATCCAATAAAATCGCTTATTAATAAGGCAACGTCGAAAAAATTGCTTTACTAAAGTTTTTTTCAAGAGAAAAAGTAGCTTATTAAAAGTTAAAGTTAGCTTCACCTTATTTAAATTATTCTTTTTTTCAAATAGAAGGATCTAAGATAGATGGATCTAAATTTCTATTGAAACATTGATGTGATGGTTATCTATTAACTACTTAATTTGAGTGAAAGAAAAAGAATAAACCTGGAGAATTAAAGAAAAAAAACCAGCCACCGGTCGTAAAAAAAAAGTATAAACCGCGTGGCGAGACCGAAGGATTTCAAAGTCAGTTACAGCTAATCCCCACGTTATTAAAAGTCACTTTAAGTTAGCATTACGGCTTACCCAGAAAATTTTACTGACTCACGAATTCTCACGTCTCTATTGCTTCAAGTTTAATCTTCGACTTGTTTCAAGCCTATCTTTCTTTCATTCTGTGGACTTCGGGCTTCTTAACTTCGCGGTCTCTTCACAAAGTCAATTGAATGCAAATGAGAAACGATCGTGATTCTAAGAATAAAAGAAAATCTTTCTGATTATATTCAATTGGCTCTACAATGGTCAAAGACTTGACAGTTTCAGTGAGTAACAGATATATTTTACAAAATAAATGGAACGAATAGCTGCCGAAATTGATTGCTTCGTAAGCGTAATACGATTTTACGCTGATCGACAAATTATAAAGACGAATAGCAAATGAACGGCTGAACGTATCTGATAGCCATTCGCGTAATGCACAACGGCCATACCGCATTACGTGGCGATGAATATAGCGCAGCCTGGAAATTGTCGATAACCAGGAGCGTATTCCGAAACAACGGTCGGCGCTCTTCGCTCAAGAATGCGTTGTCCAGTATGCGATTCACGCGAGTCTCGGCTCTGGAATTTGAAAAAATGCTCTGGTGCATAAAGCCTAATTGAATTTGGCGCGATTTCGAGCTCTCTTGTTTGTTGACTGGTCGACGCTGCTTTGTATCGCGCCATGCTACACCAATGAAAGGCTGTTTTTTATAGCTTTGGAGAGCTTTCAACCCTGATTCATCGCTGATTACATCTTCCATATAGCGCGAACATTCATTTGCACATTCGATGTTTTGAATGGAATGCTTGTTTTCTCAATATATCAAAAAGCCATATTGAAATATCAGCACTCAATTGGCTGAATAAATAGACTTTAAAAATAGAATTACAGGAATGAATAACTACTGCTCCCTCGGTGGTAGTCGATTTCGGTAGACTCAGAATATATTGTTGACTTGACAAACAGAACGTCTGGCTGGAACATTGAGAATGACTTGACGTGAGAGCTGTAGACGCAGCAGAAATAAAGAAACCTCCTCCAAGAGTTTAGAAAAACAAGAGACGCGCATGCACCTCAAAGTGGGTGGAGAATAAGGAAAAAAGAGAAAAATCGAAAAGTTTTCGCAAACGACATATATCACTTCTTCCATATATATGATCCAGTGGCAATATAAGAAAAAACAAACGCCTCCGGCGAAGCCTTGGAGAGCCTCGTTGTCTATCCTCTCGAGATTGGATTCGCCGACGCGACGATATCTCTCTCAGGGTCAGATGCTTAAAATTCATTCAACTCGATCTCTTTTACGTCTTTTCTCGCTTTCCACAGTCTTCTTTTATTTTATCGTCATAATTCCGAAAATGGACACTAAATTATGCCAAATGTCTTCTAACACCATTACTCTAGGCCATTTTGCAAAATCATTTCAGCATAGTATTAAGCTCAACTGCACCATCAAATTTTCCTTGTCATTGTTAAATTTTTAAATTGTAACAACCTTCATTTACACGTATTTAAAAAATTATACACTTTAGGAAGAACGTTATGGGAATGTTAATTATTTTCAGTCAATAAGCTCATTTGTGTCTTAGTGAATCAATTTTTCAAGCATACATATTCCTGTAAAATCTCTACTAAGTTGTGATAGAAAAAGTACGAGACACAGAGCAGAACAAAAGTGGGCAGTAAACGGGAAAGAAGCATAAGAAGAAGCGAGTACAAGAAAAAGAGCTACGAGACTAGAATACCGTCTAAAGCGAGCGAGCACTACAGAATAATTGATACAACTTTGGTTATAGGATTAAATCGAGCGTGAAGAAAGTCGAAGAGAGCAAGAAAATGGGCTCGAAGGTAAAAGGGGTTTCAAATTAATTTTTCGTCGCTGCACGTATAAAAAGAGAAGAAATTCGTAGACAATCGAACTTTTCTTCTTATTTCTCAATACGACGAAAGCAATCTATTCTATTAAGATTGTACCTATCCTACAACATCCACAATCGAGAAAATTGCTGATTCAACTGTAAACACCTGCTATCCACGAAAGTGCTGCTTCCTTTCTCTCTTCCACTTTTTTGTACCAATGTACTCTTGTTCTAAGTTTGAGTTTGTTTATTTGTAAGCAACTGCAAAAGCTTTGAGCTTCTATGAGATTTAGATCGGTATCCGGTAAGTGAATTGAAATGAATGCACTCGCGAAATTCAAATGGACTCTGCCTTCTTGAAAGAGTCAAGCTACCGTTGCGCGCAAACGAATCTTTAAGCTATAATTATAATCGATTCTCGTTGTAAAAAATAAATTTAGGCATTGTTAGAATTATCAATAACTGAGATATTGATTGATCGCGGAAGAATAATCAATCTAAGTAATAAAAGCAAGGCTAAAAGACCGATAATCACGCTGGTCACGTAGCCTATGCATCAGAAAACTCGATTTTTCTTAGGTGTGTTGCGGCGCGGCGATGGTCGGGAAACGCGAAACAGTATCGCACTAGCGAAGGGCTTTATTACTTGCTCGCTAAACAGCACTGACCACGCGGTATATTACCGTGGGTTCTGATATATTGCTAGCCCAGAGCTGCTCACCAATATCCGGCGAACAGAGTAGAGAGAGAGAGAGAGAGTGAGAGGGGGAGAGTGAGTGAGTGAGAAAGTGAACCTCCACCCAAAACTATTAATTTTGCTTTTGACCAAACACACATGCGCGCGGCTTCATTCAATTCGGATGGTCACCGAGACACACTCAGCTATACTCGTCGATTATTTTTGTACATACGAGACTTTCGTCAGTGATTCGTATCAGTGTACGGTCAGCCGGATGAAGTGTTCATCGAGCGTATCCGAAGTGCGTTATTCAATATTTCTTCTTATTATGATTTCTTTTCTTTACCTTAAAAATTACTTTCGCTATTTTCATTTTAAAATTAACCTATCGGAGTGGCTGATACTGTTTGCAATCATACCTTAGAGTTTTACTTGGATTATCTTAATAATCATTCTCGCATCTTAACTATTCCAGGCGCGATACAACCCACTAGTGCTTTTCGTTCACCAATATACAAGCATAACAATACCGTGTAATTTGCGGAGCTACCCTCGCGAAATTTAAATGCCGCCTCGCCACACTCCGCCCAACCACTTCGAGTTCTAGACTATCCGCACCCTCCCGCACATGATGCTGCCATGCATTTCTATCGGCTACTTAGTGCAGTACCGTGGCGTGCTCTCCTTTTCCCCTTCAAAGTCTATGTTATTCCTGGCGGCTGAACGTGTAAGTTTGCTAAACTACGATGTTGACTAGTTGTATATCCACGAGTCAAATAACGAAATCAATATAAAGTTCAAGAAGTATAATATTTATAATATCCAGAAGATTATTTAAAGTTGCGATAATGTATTTTTATAATCAACTATCCACACGGTCATCTAATAATAAGAATACACGATTTGACTGAGAAAATTTATTATCGTAATTTGATTGAGTTTATTATATTGATTTCGAAGACTCGTAGGGTTAACATTTTCATTCTCACAGAAAGACGATTCATAAACATCGATGTATCATCGAATGTATTATTGGGTGTTGATCAGCCAAATTGATAGCATCAGCGTCAAATTATATTTGACAATATCACGCGAGCAGAGCTTTATTGTGCTTGAAAGCTCTCGACGCTATAATCGACGATATTATTCCGATCGATCGACCACCGTTGGGCACAGTGTTGATGTTTCTGTTGTAAACGGTGGGAATCGCACCGTTGTACTAGGAACATATGCAGCTCGTAATTTTGTGGATTGAAAGTATAACAACTAATTATTATACGGAGTTTAAATATTTCCAGTGATTTTATTTTAATTTCTCTATTACTGTAAATGGTCTATTTATTAAAGTTCTGTGCATATCTCGGCTTTCTACCCCTCGTTTCCCTATGTATAAAGCTGGCTCATGTTCCATTTTTCGGGACGGCCTTCTGTTTTCTACGGAGCTTGGCTTTACAATTTCAGCTTACAAAGCATGAATTCGTCCGTTAAAAGGTCAACTTCCGTTTGCTTGTGCATAACTCTTCTACTGGTGGAAAATATGGAATGAAAACTGGAAGCATTCTGATGTATGTTTTTTCAAATCCTTAATTTTTTTAATTGAAAAAAAGACTTTCATTACATGCATAAAAGCGTGTCTACATAAGGTAGCAGATCGCCAGTTGTTGAAAACTCAAATTGAAATATAGATATCCTGTTGAGTTGGAAAACATGATTGTTTATACATCAAGATCTAATCAGATATTTACTTTAAATTTATTTGTTTGTACCGGTCTTATAGGAGTTATATTAATATCAAGGAATAACCGTTAAAAAGTTAGACAATACCATAAGTTGTGAAAATGCTTTATAATCAAGCGTGGATAACCACGAAACAACAATAGTGATTTATCCAATTTCTGTATATTTTAAATTGCTCCTAAATCTTTTATCTCTACAATGATAAG